TAATTGAACTAAATAAATGAAACACAGCAAAGAGCGTTTGTTAATAGGAAAGTTCGTTCTTATTCCTTTTACAACTAATACAAAGAACCATCGGTTAACCGTGACGAACCCATGGTTGACCGCGGTTAATCTCGGTGAACCGGATAATTTTCGGTTAACCGTGGTAAACCGAACGGTTAACCTCCCAGTTAACCGAACGGTTAATTGCGGTTAATTGACGGTTTTTTGCCGGTTCGAATGACATGGGAAATTTCTATTGTTAACACTTTATTTTTTCATAAATAAAAATAAACAAAAATTCATGCGGGGGCAATTAGTAATTGTCGTACGCTATAACAGATTATCATAATTCTTCAAAACCAAAATTTATTACAATACAAGATATAGGAGGATGAGTTCACGTCAATGATATTCATAATGAATAGTGGTGCCATAGGACAGCCTCTTCAGTGAACAATACAAACTTAGCGACATCTATTTCATTTTTAATCATTACACCCAATATCCTTTTGTAGTTTACTTAATTAGTGTATTTGTAGTTCATATAAATGAAAATCTTCCTCCGTAATTTTTGTGTATCTACCAAGTGTTGCTCAGAAACAAATACACGACGTTGCACCAATCTATTACACCAGACCACAGATCATTAATGTAAATAAAAATAAAAGATTGAACGAAAAAAGAAAGTCGTCTAACTTAAATTGAAGTTTTTCAATAAGAGCAACTAATTTTGAAAATACGTTGATTAAAACGATTCCGTTTATTAAAATAGCTTTTGATATTTTCGTCTGTCAAATTCAAGTAATGCAATTCTTTGTTTAGATTGAAATAAATTTCGATAAGCTTCAATTAAAAGTTCTTTTTTTGCTGCAGTTTCTTTGAGAACTTCAATAGCATATTCTACACCTTTTTTATGGTTGTTTCAATTGATAAATGATCTTTCAATTATTGAATTTTTTGTTCTGATCAATAAATTAATTTATCAGAAAGAATTTTATTTTCTTTTGTTTTGGAATATAAATCATTTTCAAGAGATTTTATGTTTAATAAACATATTGAACTTTAGCTTTTGTATTCCTCTTCTTCATCGTGTTCATTAAATTTCTTCTTTTGTAAATTGTACAAAATTTATTAAAAAACAAAAGAAAGTTTTCAAAACTGTGATAAATATATTGGTCTGCATTAATTGCAATCGATTAATTATTCTTTAATAAACAAGAATAAGATTACATTCAATATGAAACAGAATCTATTAATCAATAAAAAAACGAAAGGCAATATGATATATAACACTGGTCATTTATATGACCAGTCGAATAAAAATATTTTAAAGCGACCTCTTTGTTGAACGAATACGAATATTTAATATTTCAGAATATATGTTGCAGTAGAAATTGAAATTTAGTAGAATTTAAAATTCTCCTAGTAGAAATTGAAATTTCATTGTCTACTAGTAGAAAATCAAATTTCAATTTCTACTAGAAGAATTTTAAATTCTACTAAATTTCAATTTCTACTGCAACATATACACCGAAAAATAAAATAAAGTCTATTCAAGATAGTAATTTTTCATCAATAACTCGTCAAATGGATTTACGAAAAGAAGAACTTGAAAAATTATTTCAAAAAATGGAAAACTATATCAATGAGATTTCACCTACTGAAAATAAAAAAGAAATATTAAAAACCACGATGGATAACATTAAAAAACTCACAAATCAATTATTTGTAAGGAAAATAATTACATATACTTAAATTAAATATGAAGGTATTTTGTTTTTATAGATTGATTGGCAAGAAATGCAAGATACATATAATAGCATAAAAGAAAAACATAATAAAGTTTGTGATGAAAATGTTAATATGAAAAACAAACTAGCAGCATCTGATGAAAAATTCGAAAAAGTAGTTGAAGAGTTTGAAAGCACAAAAAAGATGATGAACGACTTACAGTAAATGAATATTTAATATATTTTTATTCATTTTAAAATTACATTCTTTAGAGAAGAAAAAAGCTATTTTATTTTACAACAGTTAAATGCTCATTTACTTACGACTTGTGTAGATGAAATTAAACGTGCATATGAAGAAATAAACGAAGAAAATAAACAAAATAATAGTATTTTTTATGATTTTATAAAAGATTATAGACCATATCATTTAAACCAAATAAAAAACTATTTAAAGCTAACAGAAGAACAACAGAAGAACAAAGATCCACCAAAGAAAATAATACATGATGTCATATGCAGATTTTCTAAAAAATCAAATATGGATGCAAAAGATTTTATTGAAATTCTTATTCAAAAATCGCAAAGAAATCATGATGTACATGGATATATAGACGATCATTTACAAGATATTGTTGTTGATAAATCAAAAGCAACTGATATTATATCATTCATTGAAAATAAAAAAAAATGTAGCATTATTATAAGTAAAAAAGACACAGATAAATTATTAAAATTGGTAAACATGAACGTTAAACACCTTCAAGATGAGCTTGATACGTATGTTAGACAACCAAAAGACTTTTTCTTATAATTTTTTGAATGTTTGTTTTCATTTAGACGAAAAAACATATGGAAATATTTCGATATATCATCAGCAAATGATGTCAATTTTGAAGATCGTCCATTTCGAATGCCAATTGAAGATCATTATGAAGTTTTTTTTATTTTTACTGTTAATGTAAATATATAAATGTTTGTTTTACTTAGGATAATGGTACATTTGTTACTGGTACAGTTGAATCAGGGAATTGTCGTGTTGGTACTCCATGTGTAATTATGCCAAATCAAAAACATATTCGAGTTACACAGATTTATTGTAACAATATTAAACGTAATTCTTGTACTTTTGGACAATATGTTGCACTTAAATTACAAAATGTTAAAAATGAAGTTTGTTTCTTTCTTTAATTAATTCTAATTTCCAATCAAAATTTTTAGGAAATTTCACCTGGACTTATTCTATGCAATGCTCGACAAGAACTATGTAGAGTTGGACGAGTTTTTGATGCACAAGTAAAATAAATAAAGAATTAATTTAAAAACAAAATATATATTATTCAAATAGATTGGAATTCTTAATTATACATCAATTATACGTCAAGGTCACCCAGCTGTCCTTCATATTCATACAGCTGTTGCTGGAGTGCAATTAAAAAGATTAATAACTTTAATCAATCATGAAACAGGTGCAATAACAAAACAACATCCAATATTTATAAAACAAGGTCAAGTAGCTACAGCAACGCTTAAATTATCACAACCTGAACAAATCATATGTATGGAATTATTTGAAAGTTTTCCACAACTTGGTCGATTCACATTAAGTAGTGGAGGTCGAACAATTGCTGTTGGAAAAGTTATAAAAATCATTGAATGAAAACTTTCTTGTTATTCTTTTTTGTCTTAGTTTTTATTTCATATTTCTTCTCACTAAAATAGAACTTTTCTTATGCATTTGATTCCAGCAAAACTCGACCAGAAAAAAATCTTCTATAATTGTATTAATTGACTATGTTTGAACCACACAAGTTCATTATTTTTATTTGTTCTATCAATAAAATTCTTACTTTTGTTCTTCTCTTTTTCAATATCAACCTTATTTTTATTTACTCATACTTTAATCATATATTGTTATTAATGACTCATCTTGTTCAATTAGACATTCTTTCTGATAACAATAACGATTATGTCTACAGAGAAGCTATTGCAATTTATTTAAATTAGCTGATGTATATGATTTTGTATACTGATGGCTTAAAATGCATATTAATTGTACCAAAAGGGAACCATAATTCTGAAGAGTTGGCACTTATGTGCAGCTGATCCTTATCCTAAGTGTCATTGTCATCATCACTCTTATCTACATTTACCTATTCTATTTTTGAAGTATATTATACAGGTGTTTGCAAAAAAAGCTTGGACATCTTGTTAGAGAAGTATTTCCTTACGTATACGTTCTCTTCCTAGATTTTGCATAGTACTTGATAGCCTATGATGAGTACTACTAGATACCATAGTTTAATATTTTATTCGTTTACCTTTAGAACAAAATAAGAGACAAACATCTTCTTTTCATAGACAACACTATTTTTTGCAATATTAATTTCAACATTTTTGAATTCTCATATATATCCAACCTGAAAGTTGAATTCAATTATTGAAAAACTTCTTCAACTATTCAACTTAGGGCTGTATCGCTCACGCTCATGAGCGCCCATATGAGCGTGAGCGTTTTTTCGCTGACGCTCATGCTCACGTGAGGGATGGTCGCTCACGTTCGTATGAGCGCACATGAGCGTGAGCGGTACAGCCCTACTCATATTAGCGTGAGCGGTACAGCCCTACTCATATTAGCGTGAGCGGCCATCCCTCACGTGAGCATGAGCGTGAGCGAAAAAGCGCTCACGCTCATATGAGCGCTCATGAGCGTGAGCGGTACAGCCCTAATTCAACTATTCAATTATTGAATAACTGAATATCCGAACTTCAACTATTCGAATAATTGAATATCTGACCTTCAAGCATTCAATAATTGAATAGTTGAATATCTGAACTTCAAGTATTCAATAATTGAATACTTGAAGTTCAGATATTCAATTATTCAAATAGTTGAACTTCAGATATTCAATTATTCATTTAGTGAATAGTTGAAGTTCAGATATTCAACTATTCACTTATTAATCTTCCATGACTACTTTCATGAACTTTTTCTTTATTATTGAGAGAGAATGTTAGTAGTGCATATCGTAAATGTCTTGTTATGCATG